ATATAATTAAGGGAATAAAGCAGCTGCCCTAGGAGACTAACAAGGCTGACACTAACTTGGAAAAGAGAAGGCTGAAGGGGGTATATGATCAAAGTGCAAAGATCAGGAAGGCAATGGATAAGGTGAATGATTAACTGTTAATCACCAAATCCCACAACAGAGGGCACTCACTGAAACTAGTCAGAGATTGGTTTAAAACAGAAAAAAGAAAGTGCTTCTTTAAGCTGCAAGTAGCAAAATTCTGGGTTTGTTTCCACTTGAGATTAGTGACGCAGACTGTGCCAACAGATTTGAAGAGAGGTTACACAAGTTTCCTGACAAACAGACACTAAAGAAAAGGTGATGTTGAAGTATACATCACCTCACACAACTGCAGATGCCAGAGAGTACAAGGAGAATGGACACCAGGAACAGCTAGACTTGCATGCAACCCATAAGTAGCAAGGCCTGTTGCTACAGGTTGCAACAGCACGCTGGGCTAGACAGTTTATGAATTTGACGCCATAGGTGATTTTTACATATGGTCTTAAGGAAAAGTAAACAAGTCATCTCCCTGTCATTGACTGCAGGCAGTAGAATCATAGAAACATAGAATCATTTGGGTTGGAAGGGACCATCAAAGATCATCTAGTCCAACCCCCCTGTCACTAGATCAGGTTGCTCAAAGCCCCATCCAACTGGACCTTGACCACTTCCAATGATGGGGCACCCACAACTTCTCTGGGCAAGCTGTTCCAGTGTCTCACCACCCTCATTGTAAAAAATGTCTTCCTTATACCCAACCTAAATCTATGCTCTTTCTGTTTAAAACCATTGCCCCTTGTCCGCTCACTACAGGTCCTGGTAAAAAGTCTTTCTCCATCTTTCTTACAAGCCTCCTTTATATATTGAAAGGCTACAATAAGGTCTCCCTGGAGACCTTACTTACACTTAAGTTACCTAGCATATTTGAGTATTTGTAATTAGAACAGTAGCTCTGTAACTCCTACAAATCCCTCAAAACTGGTGAAGTAACAAATGAAAATTGTTAACCAGAGAAATATATGGCAAGTTTTCCCACTTCAACACAGAAGAAAGAAAATCCCTACTTACTGGAAACATACCTCTACCATTGAAAATCCTGTTGAATACTCCATGACAGGAGGACCATCCACCCTTTCCCCAAAATCCTGAGTGAAACCAACTGCTAAGGCAAAAGTTATGTAAATGTCAGAAAGAAGCATCAGGCCCTATCAGTTAAGCTACTTAAAATTGCCAGTAGGTTGAAGTGGAAACCAAAGCCTGAAAAAAAACCTTGGATCCATATACATTTCATAAGCAGCCAAGCCTGGAGAAGGACTCCAAGCTCAAGATACACAGCTGCCATCAGAAGTCTCAAAACTAAAAGGTAACACCACTTTACTATATAATTAATTCATCAACTCAGACAGATGTCTAAAGAGATGACTCTTCAAAGAATGATCTTCATGTACTTCATGCTTCAACATCCAGAATAGATTTACTATGAATAATGGAATTAAATATAAATTTGAGCAATGAGGGAGTAGCCAACTACAAGGATAATTCAGTCCAAAGCAGCTCCTGTTGCAAGAACTAAAATGAAGCTGAGCCCCTTGACCAAGAGATGAGACAGAATTTCAGCTGTCCCTCTACCCAGAATACTAAGGAAGCCCTTTACTCTGAGGCATGAGCAGGTTAAGTCAAACGCACAGGGAAGTCTCCCTGCTCTCAGTTAAGTCACAAAAAGATGTAATAGCAGGGAAAGCCCTGCTCAGTCTCATGCTGAAGATTGGCTGGGAAATCAGCAGGACAGAAACAAGGCTTTTTTTGTGACTGCATGATCCAAAAGCATTCAAATGTTGACAGCTTCATCAAACACAAGCAAATATTCATAGAGATCACAAAAGCCGTGCCTGACAAAGACAACCCTACTGGAAAAGCTCTAGAGGTATCTGAATTTACAAAGATGCCAAGGCAGAGTGAGGTACGGAAACTTCTGACCAATACAGTTACACTTTGGTGAAGTTATAAGCAAATGAGACTAAGACTCCATACTTGAGGCTTGTGGCAACATTTAATACATGGTGGGGTAGCGAAACTGAAACTTCAAAGCTAACTCAACCAGCTACCAACGTCATTCTGAGCTTTCCATACTACAGTTTTGTCACCATACATGGGCAGTAAAAGAAGGTGACTCCGTACCTTAAAAGCTTTGGTAAGTAATTATGTGACCTCAGTATATTCACTCTTGACTGCATGCTGCAACTTGGAAATTAAAATATTAGAAACTCCACAGAACACCACTGCCCGTTCACTGTAAAGACATAAGAGCTCTGACAAAACAGCAGCAAAGAGTGTCTTAAAATCAAACGCTGGAAATCAGTATTTTGGAGATGCATTTCCTCAGACAGCTGTCCTCATATAGCACTAGATTTCTTTTGTACAATACTTGATCTTCAGTGACACGTACTCTTCTCTGCTTGCTCTATGTCTTTCCCATTCTACATCACGTCTTCAACAGATCCATGCTCACCTCATGCATGAGTACTTTCTTTAACCTTCCTGGAACCTGAAAAAGTGTTTCTTGAACATGACTCTGATTGAAAGGTTCAGCTGAGTTCCTGCCCTTGTGTACAGTGGAGAAAGAAATGGTGAGAGGTGGAAACTTCAAAGTACAGAAGTTGACAGTATGGGACACAGCCAACCTGCAACCTTTTCTCAGCTTGCAGCTCAGATTTTCCTCACCCACGCTATCCTCTTCCTCTTTGTCCTCTATTATGGGGACACTAAACCGTTTTTTCACTGCTCTCAACCATACTCTTTAGTTCCACATGTTCACAACCCTTACAAAATAAATATACGTTCCACAAATCTTAACACTCTCCATCCATAATTCTCACATAGCCCTGTTTTCACTTGTATATCCTTGATACAGAGTGAAGTTCAAAAAGATATAAGCAGACTTAAGTTTAATATTAAAGAAACTGACATGGGTGAAAATATATTTTGTGAGGTTTTTTCCCCTCCAAACAGTCATCTTGCATCAACACACAATGCGCTAAGATGACAAACAGCACAGAAAGGCATTCACTAGCACATCACAACAGCTCTCCATCATAAGCAAAAGACTACACTGCAAAAGACTAATAAATCCAGTATTACTAGCTAATACAGTCTGGTATATATAATGCACATATGCCTCAACTGGTTGAGGAACAGGAAAGCACAAGAAAACAGCCACTGAAAAACACAATCAGACACCTATCACGAATATTCTCTTTGCGATTTCAAACTCATCATGTACCTCTCTTTCCACCCTAATACAATTTTAGAAACAAGTATGAAATACCTTGGACTTTCAATTAAGTTGTAAGTAAAGTTCTATATTTTCTCAGCTTTCAAGTTTCTTGCCATTAGAAGACATCACCTCACGTTATCAGAAACCAGATCAAATATTACTCCTGACTACCGAGCTATCTAAACTCTGCTGGTGTGAAAACAGTTTAATTGAGTATTTAAAAACCAATGTTAAAAAAAAAAAAGATAGTTTTAGAATTGTGTGCAGCATGCTCCAAACAGTGAGTTTAAGAAGAAAACTCTTAGTGCTAACCAAAAGCCCTACACCCCAGAAAGGCAAGGCCTTCATATGTTTTATTTGGATAATATTTACCTGCTTTCCTTTAATTGCTTTTAACTACTCAGCTTAGAAAGGGCTCTCACACACTTCCGTTGTCTGTTGGATGAAATCAAGTAATAGTAAATGTCTTTCTGACATTACTCTGTAGTCATGGAAATGACATATTTCAAACTCAACATTATGACTCCTGTGTAAGATCAGAGAGAATATGACAACAGACTATGAAAGGAGAGCTTCTGTTTAGCTACACACATGGCAGAAGCAGTCAGCAACTCTTTAAACTGCAGAGCCAGGGACAGATCAATCTGGTATTTGCTTAACTGCTGATAATTTTTGTCAGACCTTCACGATGCATACATGCTTTTATACCAGGCAAGACTAATTCATTACATACATAGGACTTGACCTATTCCTTAAATCCGTCAAGTATATGTTCTGACCGTGATCTAACTTTTAATAATAAGCTTCTCGATCAATGACAAAAAAGTTATAGGCTGTACAAAGGTAAAAGTGGCTGATGCTATTTAGCAAACTGTTCACACCTGGCACGATAAAGAGAGTAGATGAAGATCAATTGCCTAATTTTGGAGGTATGTGTTCGTATTTCATTGCTCATCCCAAACCTAAAGAACAAATATTTTAAGGAAGATCTTAAAGTAATAACGAGCTAGTGACCATTAATGAACAATTAATGAGACAATCATCCTTCTTCAACCACAACGCCCTTACTAGTCACAGACACGCTACGCAAGCTTCCTCACAATTCCACTAACGGGCCTTGATCTTGTCTCGCACAACTTACCTTCCAGTATTGGAGAAGAAACCAGTGTTTGCTTCCATTTCAGTTTTTTCTACTTCTGCATTTGCTAGTATGAAAGCTATCGAATTGTGGTTTTGCTCTGTTTACCAGAAACAGGCTAAGGCTACCAGCTTATTTTCAGAGAAGTCATAGGATGGTAACAACTTTTGTTCACAATAAAGAGAGTCATATGCTGAACGCTTCGGCTACATGCTTCTGTTCCTTTATGGGGCCTCCCCAGCCTCCTGCCCATCCACGTCCTTCCAACCCTCCAAACCTCTCTAAGTCTATCAAGTCTTACTTCCTGTTTCCAACCAGACAGCAGACTGCACTGCCCGGCGGTTAGTATTACTTAATGCCAACCAAGTAGTAAAGCAGTAACGTACCACAGTGCCACAAAATTACTCCAAATTTAACCCTGGATTTCTGGACAGGTCAGTATCTGAAAATCATTAGAGTTCATGGGACTCAGAGCAATAGACCACAATACCTTCAACTTTTATGCTTCTATTGCAAGCCTAGTCCTGCTGAACAGTGAATACTAAAAAAAAAGAGTTTGCACTGCTACATTTTGTCTCCAGGTTGATATTTCAGCCTCTGAAACTGTACATCATAGCTGACGACAACTACACTTCAGTAGAGTGAGCCTGACAGAACTGACTGAAGGAAGATACCCTCATCTGCTACATTATTGAGAAGTACTACACTAACTCATGGTCACTTGCTGCTAGATCATCAGAGATACCAAACATTCACAAAACAAAACTCTCAGTGACTCCCACGTTAAACACAGCGAAACAACACATATCAATCACAATTTAACATGAGTTCACATGCGCCTATCTGACTCACGGACACCTTTTCTAGTCCTCAGAGCTATATCAGCAGCCACACATTAAATGGGAGTGGGTAACAGATACATAAACAACCCTAAGCAATAGCCCAGCCGGTCATGTGCTGGCACATACCTGTTATACGCAGGAACACGGGCACCAGGCACCTTACTTCCTGACAGCTCATCACTTTGGACAAATACTTCACATTCCTCTGCCAGTCACAGCCCAAATCAGCCTTGTTTCCTCAGCGCCTCGTTAGAGGTTTGCACCCGCTTGCGAGTCCCAGGCGGCGCCCAGCTGCCCGGCGGGGGCCGAGGAGAGCCCTCTCGCAGTCCCACGGACGTCGGGGGAATGGGGGCGAGGGAAGCAGTACCGGCCCGGCGCTCCCCCCG